CAGAAAAAAAGAAAGTTCTTTCAAACTTTCCCCATACGGCATTCTTTCTTTCAGACCTCTTATTTTTGCTGTTGCTGCATGGACTCTCTAGTTTATCTGCATCTTTCCTAGTATAATGTTCAAAACCAGTCACAGTGTGGCAACTGAAATCGCATCAGTGCTGAAGAATGCGAAGTAATTACTTCCTGAACTCTACACACAGCACTTGCTAGTTCACAGGAAAAAGGTTTGCCTACGGTCCTAAACAGCAGCACGCTGCTGATTCACTCTGGAATTTGCTACAGCCAGTATCTTTTCCCTTCTGTTGGCTGTTCCACATTCTGTATTTAGGTGTTTGATTTCTTCCAGTACACAATTCCATGCACTTTTTTCATTTCATCACATTGACTTCAAAACATTTCCCTGTGGTATTCTATCAGCCTAAAGCTAAGACAGACCCAGTTTATTGATTCGCAGAACTGAGAAGTCAGCAACAGACTAAAAGGTTATCCTCCCGCTTCCCACATACAGAAATAGCCCATATCCCATCACCAACTTGGCAGGCACGTTCCTCTGCCAGCCAGCACAGCTTCCTGCCTAAAGACAGCTCTTGATGTTTACACTGCTAATTCAGGTGGGAGGCTACAGCCCTCCAAATATTGTGTTTCTTTGCTGCATGCACCGATTAAATTCAAATTTCTCCAGCAGATCTGTCAGCAGAGCAAGTCTGGGGTAATGTTTCCTGCGTTGCACGGGGCAATGCAGACAGGTCAGTGAGCAGTGCCGCTGCTGTTCCAGGTAACCCAGTCACCAAAAATGACTGCTAAAATTCTTAAAGAAACCCCACGGAAAATACACTTCTGGATCCATGTCTAAATTTGAGAAAAATAGCTTTTCTCAGTTCTTAATTTCTGACACATTTCAACCTTCTCTTTGAACTAAAGTTCCTTAAGCTGATTATACACGGGCGTATCAGTTTGCAACAGCCTCATCACACGCTTTACAGGCAAATACCACGCATGGACCAGGGACACTTCTGCAGCTCTCCTCTTGTTGATACAAAGATTGTTCTATGCATTTCTTCCCAAAACGGCTACTCCTCTACCCAGATATAGCTTTACCACCATTTTTCTTGTTCCCAAGCACAGCTGCACAACCTCTACAGAGCTTCTAGTTTTCCTTCCAGAGGCTTCAAGTGCAAAAGCCAAATACCTGCCGGAACCTTTTCTTTATCTCTTCATCTGTGGCTTCAGGATCCATCTGCAGTACCTAAAAGAGACCATGAGAGCAGAGCAAGTTCAATGACACTCCCCATGTTTCAGGTTCCTGGCAGCAAGCTCTAAACACTTGGTTCACTGGCATACAGACACGACACCAGAAAGCTCCCCCCATCAGGGAGCTGCTTCAGGGCATGAATTTTCACCTAGTAAAACAGAAACATTTTAAGAGACAACATGTTTGGGACATTCTACTTTTAGCAAAGCTAGATTCCTCTGACTATGCCAGTGTCCCTTCCGCACTCAAGTCTCATGTAGACAGCTGCCATCCCTAAATAGCCACCGGTCTAAACCTTCAACCAGTCCTGTAGCAATGCTTAGTTTGGCAGAAATGGAAGCACACGGTGGCTTTGGGACACTGTTGGATCATTCATAACTGGGAACTTTGGGCAGGAAACATAGTACTTTGGAAGAATTTATTCATTTTATCATTTTGAAAGAAGACAGAAGAGTTTTACTATTTGATTTCCATGAACTAGCCCACTTGTCTACGTACTGGTCTTTAGGAATGTGGCAGAGTTTAGGAGCTCTTTTGTGAATTAATTTACTGAACAGAAGTCCTAAGGTAACAAGTGAGCCTACTCAGTACAGATGCACACCGGTCTGACACTAAGAATCTGAAAATAAAAACCACTCTCTCACAGGAAAGCTACAGTCTACTTCTGAATGGCTTTCTTAATTTACTCTCCAAGTCAAGTACTAAGATCTACACAGAACTGAAAGTTGTCAAGGTGAATCTGCCAACTGATCTGGCTGACCAGCCCTAAATTGAGACTACAAAAAGCACCTGAGGCTTTAAAAAGGCAGATGAAGATGGTATCAGGAAGGAATACACACAGGAAACGCCAGCTCCAGAGGAACACCAGATTGTTTTATTTACTGTCCTCCTCAGGCTGTCATACTCATTAAAACTTTATAACTGACTGCAACTGGAATCAAACTATATAACGTGCAAGGGAATTATCCATTTTCCAGTGACTCCTCAAAGATTGCTCACTAGCGTGAGCGGTGAGAGTCCTTCTCTCATTCTATGCACTACGCAGGTTCAGTGGGATGAACATCCAAAATAAAAGACACAAAAATGCCGAGTCAAGAGTGCTCAGAACAGAACCCGACAGGCATGCCACTTGTAGCTGTTACATATTCATTCAGAAAGTACCTAGCATTAACCTGCCAAATCTTCTAGTGCTGTTGCACAAGGGAAATGTGTCAAAATAATATAGTTTACGCTTGCCATAATTCAGTGAAAAGAGAGCGAGCACATATACACCATCCTTCTGCCTCCTGTAAACCTTCTGCACAGTAATCTACACCTAGAGAATTTTTTTCTTTCTTTATATTTGGTCTTTTTACTGAAATAAACACCGAGTAAATCTGGAAGTTGGGATACCAAGTCAGAAGGGAGGATAAAACGTTCAAACTAACCTCAAAAGGGTTCAAGTTGAAATAGGAAGATCCAGGTCGGGTCAGCCTGTCAATTTGGTTTTTTGATGTTAAAACAGAGTCTCGTTTTTCAATTTGCTTTACCTGAAGAACAAGACAGACCTACATTAACTGACCATCACAACGTGCTTACCTGTTTTCCCATGTGATTACCATACCAGTCATCATCGTCCCCTACTACAATTCACAATACCTCTTGCTCAGCCCAAGCCTGTAGTTATTTTATTCAAGCACTACCAGAGCACATTTTTCAGCCTTTTCTGCAGCATGACAGTATTTTTGACATTACATTTTAACTATAAAAAGCCCTAGAAAGCACTTCTGCCTGGCTCTCCTATAGCTGGCTCAACAGCTGCGGCTTCTCCCCTCACTTTGCTCCTTCGCCAGCACCGTCATCGTGATTCCTTGGAAACCCACCGCACTATTGCTTTTAAGCCACTGTTGGCGGGACAGCCCCTTGAACAGCTTAAGTGACACCGGTGCGAGTATACAAACCCACTCCATTCTGACCACGGGTTATTTAGTTCAGTCCAGTTTACTTTTTGTTCTTTACAGTATTAAGCCAAACCAAACCATGCATTTACATTTAACGTTCACCTTTATTTAAGGAAATAAGCATCCACCAAACCGGCACTACCTTTCTGCGGGCAGGCTCAGGTAATCACATCCAAACTGTGCACAAAAGGGCAGAGACTAGCACCAGCTGAGGGAAAGGGGCCCCACGCACCTTCCCAAGTGACAGTTTGTCCACAAAAAGGCCAAGCAGCGGAGCCCAGCGGAGGGTTATGCTCAGAGCCCGCGGAGCGCACAACTCCCACCGGCTTTATCCGAGGGAGCGAGATAGGGGCTGAACGCTCGGCTCCTTCCCCCAGCCACAACAGGGGCTTTTCGGAGGGCGGGCGGCGCCGCGCGGCCGGCGGCAGCGAGCCCGGGGA